ACTGGAATTATTTCAAAAGAAACGTGCACTCTCCACAACAAAAGAACACCTCGAAGTATTGACAAAATAGTTAAAGTTCTCCTCGAGGAATTAACGTTTTGAATCTAAGAACGCTAATAGCTTAAAATTAATGTTTCTCTTACTTTCCATTTTTCTTAACAAAGCTTCCAGAATGTTTTCCATGTTAGTCAGCCAACCTCCTGCCAACGCTTTAACTGAGACCCAAACCCATAAATACAACGGCTCATTAAAAATTTTACACGAGATGTCTGAAAGTCACATCAAGTCGGCCTTTCTAAAACTGAATTTCACCTACGGTGAGGTCAACAAGAACTACACTCTCAGTCCCTTGGCACAAAATTGCTTCCTGCCAAATATAAAAGGAACCATTCTTCCCAGGAGGGGGCCAAAGGAAAGCAAATCCCCAAAGCAGGCGCATTTAATTCGAACTCCGCGGCCGAGGTCGAGGGGTGCGGGTGACCAGCCGCCCCGCGCGTCTGCACGCCCCGCGCCGCCCCTGAGGCTCGTGCCCTCGGCCCTCCAGCGCCACGCGGCGAGGAGAGGCTCCGGGGATCGCCGGGCAGGCCGGCTGTGCGCGGGAGATCGCGGAGATTGGGCCTGAGTCAGGGACGCGATCGGGTTTCACCCTGTCAGGCAGAGCGCTGGCGAGATTGTGAGATTCCTGACAGACGCGAGGTCCGAGGCAGCCGCGCAGCAGCTTGGCGCCCACGCCGCGGACCCGGCGCGCCCTTCACAAGCGCACAGACCCCGCGAAGCAGGCCCCGCGGGCGCCCGGCGGCCTGGCCCGCGACCGGGCTGATAACGCGTAACCGGAGCGCCGGCACGCGCCGGCAGGCCGCTGGCTGGGGGCCCGAGGCAGAGGCCGCACAGGTCGGCCGGGTCCGGTCCCTTCCCTTCGCCACGGCGCCGCCCGACCCTTCTCTTCCCCGGCGGGGAACGGGCGTTCCCACGCGCGGCCACCCCGCCTGAGCCCACGAGCGAGGTGGAGTCGGTGCCTACCTGGTCATCCTCAAAAATGATTTTGGCTGGGATTTCCTTGCGAATGATCTTCCCGAAGATCGTGTCGCCACCAGGCCGAGCGGCCTGAGCTTTGGCGATCTCATCTGCCATCGCGGCCTCCCTTCCGCAAGGCTGCCGGGGGAGAAGCTCGCGAGGAGGGGTGGGGCGGGGGGAGCGGGCAGAGGGCGGGAGCGCGCGACCAAGCCTGCGCTGGGACCGCTGCTCGCTTGGCGGAGCTGGTCCTGCGCGTGCGCACTGGCAACCGGAGCGGCGGCTGCGGCGGGCGCGGCGGGCGCAACAGGCGCTAGGAAGACCGCGGGGGCAGCCAGGGTCCGGAGGGGAGCTTCTTGACTCAAGGCTCCAAGGAGCCGTACTGAGGTCGTTTTTCTTTATTCCTTTCTTGCCTCTCGGCGAGTGGAGTTAATGGTAGAAGCCGACCCTCGCTTGCTTTAGGGACCCTTGTAGGAAAAGTTAGGTATTGTAGCTGAAAAGATTTGATAGTTCAAGCCGGGCTGGCCATGTTTGCAGGGTGAGACACCGTGACACTCATTTCTCAGGTCTTGGCGCCAGCACGTAAGCCTTCCTTGCATTTTTTTTTTTCCCCTCCCTCTAGCAGTGGTTCTCAACCTGGACTCAATGTTAAAATCACGTGGGGAGCTTTTTAAAAATCCAGCAAACCTGGACACACGCCAAATCAATCAGAATCTAGGGGTGAGCCCCAGGCATCAGTAGTGTGTGAATCCTCCTAGATTGTTCTACAAGGAATTTTTCCTAGTAGTAATGAACATAATGTCAAATGTCCTACCTTAAAGGACCAAAGCATTTCTTAACCACAAATCCTCCATATCTTTGCTCCTTTTTAAGATTTTTTTCAATATATTGGGAACACTTTCTCATCTTTCTTTTTTGAACCCATTTCCTTTTTGTCAAAATCACTGAGGACCTCCACTTACAAAATCCTATAGGTGATTCTAGTTCTCCTCATACTATACCTCTGGGCATCATTGGCCACTGTTGACCATCCTCTCCTCTCGGCAGTATTCCACTCTCCAACCTCTCTCGGTGCTATTTCTAGTTCACAGTGAGCCTCCTATTCCAGGCCTCTCAGAGGATTCTGTTCTTAGTCCTTTTCTCTAGCTAACAATCTGCAAGTGTCCTTAATAAGTCAAATTAACTATATTTCCCTGAGTACCCTCATATGATTGTTTTAATACTTTGTCTTGGCAAAATTACTGATAGTGGCCCTCTTTGATATCAAAAGTGTCCCATGCGTTATTTTTTCTATCAAAGGCATTACTGGGACAATTGGTGAAATTTAAATAATGCTTGTAAATTATATAATAGTTTTTAAATCATGTTAATTTCCTCACATATCCATAACAAAATTATCAAAATCAGTTGACTTATGATGGGGCTGTGTAACTTAGGTTTCTATATACTGTCACAAAGGGTAAGAGTTACTTCTTTTTTACAGCCATGTAGTATTCTATTGTGTAATGTACGAAATCTTTTTTATCCACTTACCTACTGTTAGGCACTTAGGCTGTCTCCAGATCTTGGCTATTGTAAATAGCGCTGCTATGAACTTAGGGGTGCATATATTCTTTCTGGTTGGTGTTTTGGGATTCTTTAGACATATTCCCAGAAGTGGGGTCAATGGGCTCAAATTTATTTTTACTTTCTCTTCAAAAAAATCAAACGTCCTCCTGCAGCATTCTGTATCTACTATAACACTATTCATTGAATTGCTCAAGCCAAAAGCCTTGAAATAATCCTTAACTCTTTTGCCTGTGCTTTCAGTACATTTCATGAATCTAAACACTTCTTACCTCTACTCCACCACCCTAATCCAAGCTACTATCATTATTGATGATCATGTTGTAATCTCTGGAACCTATGAGTATGTTACTTTACATGGTAAAGGGGATTTGCTGATGTAATTAAGTTAAGGATCTTGAGGTGAGGAGATGCCTACATGTTCCAGGTGGGGCCAATAAAATCACAGGGGCCCTTATAAGTGAAAGAGGAGCACCACAGAGTGAAAGTCAGAGAAGGAGCTATGATAATAGAAGCAGCGGTGAAAGTCTAAGATTGAAGGGTTTTGAAGGCCACAAGAAGATGGCATTCTGAAAGGCAGGAGTCCAAATTCGGTTTTACTGAGCTAAAATTATGGTGTCAGCAGGGGTGCGTTCCTTCCAGAGGCTCTAGTGCAGAATGGTTCCCTTATTCTAGAGGCCACATTCATTCCTTGGCTTGTGGCCCCTTCCTCCATCTTCAAAGCGAGAAACAGCATCTTCTAGCCTCTCACTAACTCTGCTTCCTTCTTCTACTTACAAGGATCCTTGTATCTTGGGCCCACCAGACAATCCAGGATAATCTTTACATCTCAAAATCCTTAATTTAATCACATCTTGAAAGTTTATTGTTTTGTTTTTGTTTTTTGTTTTGCCATATAAGGAACATAGTCAAAAGGATTTTGGTGACCATTATTTTGCCTACCATGTAGCTCCATGAACTTACATGATGAACATCTTGGAATTTCCCGTTCAGTTCTGGGTCCTACCTTCTGAGCTGCCAACAGACCAGAACATATTCCCAGGACAACCAGAATAGTCACTCCATTTATGGAAAGGCTGAATGAACCATAGAGATTTATCTAAGAGAAGAGAAGCTTCAGGACTGAACTGATTTGGGCACTATGGGAACTGTATTTTCAAACATTGGCTGATGATGTTTTTTGGTTAATTGGATACAGGATCCCAGCTAGCCAGAAATCATAACAATAAATTATAAACTTTCAGGAAGATGGGCTATGATCCTGAACTGAAATGAAGTAAGCATCTTTTAATCATTAATTAGCAATCAGAGTACTACAATGCAATATCACAAAATCATCTAATTTACAGTTTTCTGGATAAAAGAAAGTACTCAGTATATTTGGTTTAATTGCTTATGTTAAACATTCTTCTGCAAATCTAATATATTTTATAAAAAAGCAAAGTTGACTCAGAATTGTTATGGGATGTAAAGTACAACATAGGGAATATAGTCAATAGTATTGTTAAACTATGTATGGTGCTTGATGCTACTAGAGCTATTGAGAAGATCACTTGGTAAATTATGTGTCTACCACTACCCTGTACTCCTGAAATTAATATAAAATAATACTGAATGTCCACTGTATTGACAATTTTTTTTATTTAAAAAAAGGTAAAGTAGACAATTACCTTGCTATTTTCACGATGACTTTAAAATGATGTAAATCACAGAGAAGGAAAAGGGTCTTGGAGACGCATTGGTCAAAATCTCTTCATTTCTAATAAAAAGTCAGTTTTACCTAAGAGTTAAATGAAAGGCTATGCGGGGTACAAAAGGCAAACGATTATGCAGTGGGAACAAGGTTGAGGTTTTTTCTGATCCTTACAAGGTCATAAGTTAAAATGTACTTAAATACATGCTTTATGATTGTTTATGATCTATAAACTATTTCTGGCCGATTGACTAGCAAAACCAAGGAGTAAGACAAGTTGAGCAGGCTGTGTGTGTAAAGGGTAAGACTAGGCTTTCAGGTCAGGAATAGGGATTTGTATCCCAGACTTCCATTTACAAGCCCTGTGATCTTAAGCAAGTCTCATCCTCACCTTATGAGGTAATTAAATGAGAGAATGTACACATAGCACTTTCGGGAGTCACCGATCCAATCATGTCCACTACAGTTATGGCTTGGCTCTTAGGCAATTCTGCAAGAAGGCAGTCACAGGTGGAAAACGTTATAATAAGGGTTCTTTAATAGATAAGCCTAAATCCGAAGCAGGAGGTAATGAATTGTGTATATATTGTAGATGCTGAAGCCACCCATTAAATGTCAATCCACTCTCCGCCACCAGAGGTTGCCTCAGAGGGGGGGGAAAAAAACCCGGAAGTGACCCTGCCCCTAACTAACATGGCGTCCAGGTGATTTCCGTTCTCTTCTCGCCTGTAATTGACTTCGCCGGTTTCTCGCGGCTTTTCCAGACGTTCTGGTTCATCAAACTCCTTTCTCACGTTCCTCCGCGGAAGGCGGGGCTATGATGAAGATGCTTCCTGGTGATTGGTTGTGATGCGTTAGGAACGTAGTTACCGGAGTTGGCCCGCGCACGCCAGGCCGTGATTGGTTGCTGGAGGCGGGGCGACTAGGCCGCTGGAGAGGTAGCCGCCGCTGTGAGGAGAGACATGGGTCAGGCAGCCAAGGTGACAGGGCTTGGGGAGGTGTTGGGTGCGATGCCGACTAGGGGGTTTAAGAGCGCGGCCTGACTTGTTTTCTGGAGTCCCGTAGCTGGGGTTCAGGCCCTCCACGGAGGATGTGGCCGATGCCCCTGACGAGTGCTCGAGGGTTTGTGCAGGTGCGGAGGAGGGAGGGAGGCACCAGTGCCTCCTAGTTCTTAGCCTACCGCGGTACCGAGTGTGTTCCGTGATGCAAGACTTGAGTCCTGCCCGCGTTTCATCTCCCCGCCGAGTATTTGAGGGGCCCATTTCCCATCCTTGGGAAGCAAGTGTACTAGGGGCTAAAGGCAGCCATGCGCTCCAACCATCCCGTGAGGTCAAAGGTGTAGTCGTAAAACTGGAAGGTACACGGTTTTCTAGGAACCAAGGAAACCGAGCCCCGGTAAATTCACTTACCAAAAATAACAGCGACGCAGAACAGAGACCCGAGTGCTCTGAATGAGCTCGGGAAGCGATGGCCCCGCCGGGGTCACATTCCTGAGGACTTGGTCTCGGGACCATTTTTCATCAAACTAATGGACATTCCCGCCGGTGCACAATTCTCAGAGACGAGCCATTCTTAACCTTAAATATCAGCATGGCTGTTTGGGATTTGTCCCTGTCACTGGCTGAAACACAGGCATGGAAAGAGGAAAATCGCCCGCTAGGATATAGTGAGGAAAAGCAATGCTTATCGCCATAGCCGCTGAGCAATGCCTCATGTACTACTGCAGTTGGTGTCCTCAGGACGTTGTAATATATGTCACAGCACCAATAGAGACAGAATTGTAAAGGATTATTCATTCAAAAAACTTACTGAGTGGCCGTAATAGCTATTAGTAATACCTAATAGCCAACATTTAGCCTATATTGTCTAGGCATAGTGTATGCAACAATAAACAGGCCACCTTTGCCTTCCTACAGAAGTCTAGCAGGTCGGGAGAGTTTTAAGTAACTTAATTAGAATTGTGTTAAGTGCTTTGAGTTGAACGTACAGTGTATTTTGTGTGCATATAATTAGGATTTAACCTATCTGGAGAGATTAAAAAAAAAAAAGTGCCTGTAATAAAAGTTAAATTAGGTTGTGACCTCAAGTTTAGAAAAAAGACCATTCCAGAAAGAGGAATTAGAATATGGAAAGTCTTGAAATGGGAAATTGCTTGGAAAACTTGAATACAAATTAAAGGATTCATTCCAAAAAAGCGTTTTAGCCAGGTCTACAATGTATAGAAAACAGCTATGCTAAGCATGGAGGACTCAAAGGTAATCAAGAAGCCTTTGAGGAAGTATGGTACAAGTAAGCAGTTAACATATAGTGCAGTAAGTGTCCAATGTTGGGGATGTACTCAGGAGGAGTATATAACCCCGACTTAGAAGGAATAGGTAAGTAATGACTATCTGCAGTGAAACCTAATACAGAAATTATACCAAACACCCTTAAAATTACCTCATTATTAAAAAAAAAAAGGCTAAAAATCTGAGTAACCCATCCAAACTTGCAATAAGTACCAAAGTCAGAGTCAAACTCATCTGACTGAAGAATACATTCTCTACATATACTGCCTAAATTTGTTCAATCAGTATAAGTAAACGGGGAAGAGAAGACAACCTGTAACTTAACTTTCTGCTTTTTAATATAAGTATATTAACTCCAAGGTGATATTAGCGCTGATAACTTCAAGGCAGTAATGATAACCTCATCTTAACTTGATTATATCTACAAAGACTGTTTGCAACTAGGGTCACATTTTGCAAGTACTGGGGATTAGGACTTCAGCATGTCTTAGGAGGATACAAGTCAAACCATAACAATATGGATATACCACATTTTATTTACCCATTCATGAGTTTATGAACATTTGGGTTGTTTATATTTTTTGACACTATTACAAATAATACTAACATGGACATTCATATATAAGTTTTTATGTGAATACATGTTATTTTTCTTGGGTATATATCTAAGCATGGAATTGCTGAGTCATGTGATAACTGTTTAGCTTTTTGAGCAACTGCTAAACTGTTTTCTGAAGCAACTGCACCATTTTACATTCCTACCAACAATGTGTAAGTTCCAATATTTCCACATCCTTGCTAACATTTGTTTTTTACTATCTTTTTTACTATAGTCCTCCTAATGGAGAGAAGTAGTATCACTGAGATTTAAATTTGTATAACTCAAATGGCAAGTTATGTTCAGCATTTTTTATGGCCTTAATAGCCATTTATCTCTTGTCTCTGGAGAAATGTCTATTCAGATCCTTTGGGGGAAAAAAAGAGAGAGAAATTAAGAAAAATAAGAATCAAATCCTTTGCCTATTAATTTTTTTATTATCGAATTGTAAAAGTTATTTTTTTAAACTTTATTTTTATTGTTAACACTATTACAGATGCCTCCATTTTCCTTCCCTTTGCCCACCTCCACCCAGCCCCTGCCCCTCCTTTCCTCTGGCCATCACCACACTGTTAGTGTCTATGGGTTATGCATGTAGTTCTTTGGCTGATTCCCTTCACCTTCTTTCTTACAGTCCCTTCACCTCCCTTTGGACAGCTGTCAGTCTGTTCCCTGTATCCATGCCTCTGTTTCTGTTTTGTTTATTAGATTTCACATATAAGTGAGATCATATGGTATTTGTTTTTCTCTGACTGGCTTATTTCACTTAGCATAATGATCTCCAGGTCAATCCATGCTGTTGCAAAAGGTAAGATTTCCTTCTTTAGGGCCATGTAGTATTCCATTGCATATATGTACCAAATCTTTTTTATCCACTGATCTACTGATGGGCACTTGGGCTGTTTCCAGATCTTGGCTATTGCAAATAACACTGCTGTGAACATAGGGGTGCGTATATTATTTTCAATTGGTATTTTGGAATTTGAGGGTATATTCCCAAAAGTGGGATTGCTGGGTCAAAAGGCAGTTTCATTTTTAATTTTTTGAGGAAACTCCATACTGTTTTACACAGTAGCTGCATCAGTCTGCATTCCCACCAACAATGCACAAAGGTCCCCTCTCCTCCACAGCCTCGCCAGCACTTGTTGTTTGTTGATTTATTCATTCACGATAGCCATTCTGACAGGTGTGAGGTGTGATACCTTGTTGTGGTTTTAATTTGCATCTCTCTGATGATTGGTGATGTTGAGCTTTTTCTTATATATCTATTGGCCATCTGTACGTCCTGTTTGGAGAAGTGTCTGTTCAGATCCTTCGGCCATTTTTTTGATTGGGTTGTTTGTCTTCCATTTGTTGAATTGTGTAAGTTCTTTATATGCTTTGCACATTAACCCCTTATCAGATGTCTCACTGGCAAATATGTTCTCCTGTACAGTGGGTTCCCTTTTCATTTCATTGGTGATTTTTTGTTTTTTGTTTTGTTTTTTGCTGCATAGAAGCTTTTTAGTTTAATATAGTCCCATTTGTTTATTTTCTCCTTTGTTACTCTTGCCCTAGGAGATATAGTAGCAAAAATAACTAGCACCTTATCAGATATATGATTTGTGAATATTTTGTCCCATTCTGTGGGATGTCTTTTTCTTATAGTGTCCTTTCCCTTTCTTTTTCTGAATAAAATTTTTATAGTTTTTCTAAAGGTGAGAAGTATGTAAAGATTAAGAAATATTGGCCAGTTGGTTCTGCATCCTGGTGCTGCATTACTACAGAGCCCTCACAGTCCTTCAGCTGAGATGCCTGAGGAAACCCAGAATCACGACCAGCTGATGGAGGAGGAGGAGGTTGAGATGTTTGCCTTTCAGGCAGAAGTCGCCCAGTTGCTGTCACTGATCATCAGTATTTTCTATTTGAATAAAGATCTTTCTGAGGGAGCTTATTTCAAATTTATCAGATGCTCTGCACAAGATCAGGTATGAAATCTTGACAGATTCCTGTTAATTGGACTCTGGGAAAGAGCAACACCTTAATCTCATTTCAAACAAACAGGACCAAATCCTCACTGTTGTGGATACTGGAATTGGAATGACCAAGGCCAATTTGATCAATAACCATGATAATATTGCTAAGTCTGGGACCAAAGTGTTCATGGAAGTTTTGCAGGCTGGTGCAGATATCTCTCTGATTGGCCAATTTGGTGTTAGATTGGCCTATTTGGTTGCTGAAAAAATGACTGTGATCACAAAACATAATGATGATGAACAGCATGTGTGGCAGACTTCTGCAGGAGGATTGTTCACAGTTCTGATTGACACAGGGGAACCCATGGGTCATAGAACAAAGGTTATCCTGCATCTGAAAGAAGGCCAGCCTGAGTACTTGGAGGAGAGAAAGATAAAGGAGATGATGAAAAAACATTCTCAATTTATTGGCTACCCCATTAATCTTTTTGTGGAGAAAGAATGTGATAAAGAAGTCAGTGATGATGATACTGAAGAAAAGGAAGAGAAAGAAAAAGAAGCTCAATGACAAACCTGAAATTGAAGATGTTGGTTATGACAAAGAGGAAGAAGAAAAGAAGGATGGTGACAACAAGAAGAAGAAGAGCACAGAGAAGTACAGTGATCAAGAAAAACTGAACAAACCAAAGACAGTTTAGACAAGAAGTCCTGACAACATTACTGATGAAGAATACAGGGAATTCTACAAAAGCTTGACTACTGACTAGGAGGCTTACTTGACAGTGAAGCATTTTTCAGTTGAAAGATAATTGGAATTTGGAGGCCCTCTTTTTGTTCCAAGATATGCTCCCTTTGACCTATTTGCAAACAGGAAAACAGAATTTAAGTTTTACTTCCACAATGTTTTCATAATGGATAACTGAGGAGCTAATCCTTGAATATCTGAGATTCATTAGAGCTGTGGTGGATTCTTAGGATATCCCTTTAAATATTTCCCAGGAGATGCTGCAACAAAACAACATTTTGAAAGTTATCAGAAAGAATTTGGTCATAAATGCTTAGAACTCTTTACTGAACTGGCGGAAGAGAAAGAGAACTACAAAAAAATTTATGAGCAATTCTCTAAAAATATTAAGCTTGGAATACATGAAGACTCAAAATCAGGAGAAGCTTTCAGAGCTGTAAATATACTGTACCTCTTCTTCTGATGATGGGATGGTTTCCCTAAAATACTATTGCACAAGAAGGAAGGACAACCAGAAACACACCTTTTACATCACAGGTGAGACCAGGAAACTAACTTTGGCCTTCATAGAACATCTTCAGAAGCATGGTCTAGAAGTTATTTGTATGATCAAGTCTATTGATGAGTACTTCGTCCAGCAACTGAAGGAATTTGAGGGGAAAGCTTCAGTGTCAGTCACCAAAGAGGGCTTGGAACTTCCAGAAGATGAAGAGAAAAACAAATAGGAAGAGGAGGAAAAAACCCACAAGTTTGAAAACCTCTGCAAAATCATGGATATCTTGGAGAAAAAAAGTAGAAACGGTGGTCATGTTAAACTGGTGACATCACCATGCTGCATTGTCACAAGCATCTATGGCTGGACTGCAAACATGGAAAGAATCATGAAGGCTAAAGCCCTGAGAAACAACAATGGGTTACATGGCAGCAAAAAAACACCTGGAGACAAACCCAGACCATTGCATCACCAAGACCTGAAGGCAGAGGGCAGAGGCTGACGAGAATGACAAGCTGTGAAGGACCTGGTCATGCTACACTGTGAGATGGCGTTCCTGTCGTCTGGCTTCAGTCTGAAAAATCCCCCAGACACATGCTAACGGGATATACAGGATGATCAAACTTGGTCTAGGTATTGATGAAGATGACCCCACTGCTGATGACAACAATGCTGCTGTAACTGAAGAGATGCTGCCCCTCAAAGGAGATGGTGACATGTCATATACAGAGGAAGTAGACTAAGCTCACCTGAAGAATAACTTGTACATGTATTCAATACTTTACCTTCATTCCCTCTGGTAATATATTTTCAAGGATTTTTTTCTTTATTTTTAATTAACATTTAAAAATCTATATGGCATGACAGTAACTACTAAAAGAAAAGAAAATATTTCTTTCTACTTCTAAGTGTATGATACTGTGATACTTTAGGCACTAAAGCAGAACTAGTTTTGTTTTTTTTCTTTCTTGTTTCATGTTGGCTGCTTTTAACAGAATTATGTTGTTTGTTGCAAGATGTGTATAACCTAATGTTAGTTAGCTTTGTGGTTTAAAGTGTTTAGTTCTCAAGCTGATTCCATAGTAGACCAAATCTTTTGTCACTGAAGTGTTCTGAGATATGCATGTTTAAAATAACTTTCATCACCTAGGATCTACTTTTTAAATCTTCTATCCCCTCTAGATATCAACTGTATGTATGGCCTCTAGAAATTAGTATGCTAAGCTGAACCAACTCGATGGGAGTAACTATCTGTAAGGCTTGTTTTCCAAAGAAAAGTATTGTTTAAAGTAGCAAAATTATAAGCCTACTTAGGCATGTTCTAAAGCCTTTTAGAAGTAACTCAGAGCAAGTTTTGTGAATGGAAATGTAGTGCTCAAGTCACATTCTGCTTTAAAAAGGTTGTGACAAATACAGATAAATTAAAAAGGAAAAAAGAAATAGTGTTACAGAAATACCAGTAGGTGTCTACTTCCTTCTACATCTAATTCCTTCTCCCTGGAATAAGAGCTTTTAATCATTTTAGCTATTTGTTGTGATATTTATCTCTATGTTTCTAAAATGTTTAAACTGCTATTTATTTATTTTTCTCTTTGGAGATATTTTTCTTGACTTTTAACTATGGAGGTTGAGGACTAAGATTCCCCTTATACCTTATTCCTCTCAATATACAAGTTATGGTTAATCGGTCTCGTCTCTGATATTATTTGACTATATAAAACTTATCCACACCCCAGCTCTTTAATATAAATATAATTACATTGTCTTTAATTTCTAATTCTTAGTTTTTCTTGAAATTAATAACTGTCTTGTTTTTATTATTAGTTAGTGTCCTACATATCCCCAAACGGAACAAAACCAAAAGTCTACCATTTTTATTTCTTCCCTAGTAACATCTTTTCTGGAACAGTTCAGCCTTTTCCTGACGAGTTGCTTTTTTGGCTGGTTGCACAAATGCTGACCTATATTTGTTCTTTACTATCATCTCTGCCTCTCTGGTATTGGATCACCTGTCTACCTGATTCTTATGCTTTTTTCTTTTGTGGTTCATCCCTTGTTTTGGTGGAACACATTTGGTGTTCTAAGAAAAGGTATATGGCATATAAGAGACTTTGTATTCCTGAAAATCCCTATTTGCCCTTGTACAATAAGTGATAATTTGTCTATGTAGGGTATTCTAAACTGGACGTTTTCTTTTCAAAACTTGCAGATAATACACTATTGTCTTCTCACAGTGATGCTATTTAGAAGTCAGGTACCATTCTACTTTTCTACCGTTTATATGTGAACTGTTTTTTCTCTCAGAGTTTTCTTTTTAATAGCATTGTGCTGAACTTACGGACGATGAGCTGTGGTATAGGTTTTGTGTTGGGCACTTGGTGGAGCCCTTTCAATCTAGTAGCTCATGTATCTTACTTGGTGAAATTTTGATTTATTCCTCTTTTTAATTTCTGTTTTCTCTGTTCTCTGTTGTTGGAGCCATCTAGCCCACTCCCTTAATTTTCTTATGTTTTCTCTCCTCAATTTCTCTCCCAATTTTTATTCTACTTTCTGGACAGTTTTTCTCTACTTAATCTTTGCTCTCACTCATTTGATATCCAAGAGCTTTTGGGAGTTTTCTGATTGTTCTTTTTTAATTTAACTTTTTTGTTGTTTTTGTTATTCCATGTTTGCAGTAATTTAGGAGTTAATTGTTTTTGTTTTGTTTAGTTTTTATGTTTTCTGCTCATTTCCTGTTTCTGTTTTGGTGTCTGTCTTTGAAGTGACAGGTTTTCTAAAATACTTAAAACAGTGCCTAGCACACAGGATATTCTCAGTAAACGTTAGATATCACTATCTGGTGAATAGCCTGGAGGAAAGAAGAGAAGGGTGGCAGAGTGACAAATCTCTTTAAGTCATCTAAGAAAGAGATGGGGAGCATCTGATCTTAAATAGTTCGGAAGTATGGTGAATGTACAAAAAATTAGACATCCTAGCATTTTTCACATGAAGAGTAAGGTAGATTTAAAGTTGACCTTGAGATTTTTGGCTTGAGAAATTCTGTGTCTTCTGTAACTGAAATTGGGAAGACAGGAGAAACAGCTATATTGGAGGAATAATATTGAGGACCTTTTTGGACTTGAGAAGTATGAGGTGGCCTCAGCCACTGTCGGTCTCCTACCAAAGTGCCAGGCTCTTTTCTCTCCATTTTTTAGCACAGTCGTAGAATCTCAGCATTTTACTTATCTTTCGAGAAATCACAGTAGAACTTGCCTAAGTTACCTGAAATATCTTCCTTCTGGGCTCTCTTAAGGTATAATAAGATCATGACTTTGTGTTTATGTGTATCTCACTTTAAGAACAGATGAAGGCCTCACCATGTTAAGAAAAATGATAACAATACATACCAGACTGGTCAAGTTGTTTACCTTAGCAGACTGGTTTTCGCAGGGGGATTATTAACTTTTTAATTATCCTTGAATTGTTTTGTTTCAAAAAACTTTGTATATTTTTGTAAATAAAGTTTTTTTTTTTTATTTAAGGATAAATAATGTAAAGGCATTTTGGCAAACTCTGGTTTTAATCAGCTACTTTGAAAAATAGTCCAAGAAACAAACAGAAAAGAAATACTGTTTATATTTTGTAATTATGTTAAATGTGACTTTTTTTTTTCTTTTGAGGTCTGAGTTCTAATTTCCTTGATAGGTTTTACAGCTTTTTAAAACATTGCACAGGACCAGACAACAAGTTTTTAAAAATGATACCAGAGCATTAGAAGGTAAGTTTATTTTATTCCCTTTGGAACAGGTCCATTCTTAAGATGGCTGCCAATATATCCAAGAGACCTTGTATACAGTCAAAACTCATCTTAGGGAATGACCTCTACTATCTCTTCTCTAATGTTGTTTTGTGTTATAAAGATTAGTTTACATTACACTTTCCTGAAGAGTGTATCTTTAAGGAAAATTAAAATCACTTCTGTATTTTATAATCAAATTTTTATGCTCTCTACTACCAGAAACTACCATATTGTTAATGCCTTGTGTCATTCTAGAAGTGACAGTAGCTATGAAAGAGAATTCAGAATCTATCCCAAACAATTCCAAATTCATTATTTCACTGTTCTATGTGGTTTCTATCTTACCTGAGAGTCAGAGCTCTAAAGCTTAGGTTCTTTGTCGGTCATGTCCAGTTTCAATTCTCATACATTTCTAAACCTCTTTAACCTACGTAAAGTGTCCCCACTGTCCCTAGGAATTCAAGCTTTTATAATTCACCAAAAACAATTTCTTGACTATTAAAGTATATGCCTTATATTGTACTTTACACAACTTCCTCATTTAATTCTTATAACAGCCCAATGATGTAGTTGCTATTATAATTTCTATTTTTTTCAGATAAGAAACTAACAAAATGTGAAAGGAATTGCCCTACATTGTACTTAGTAAGAGAGAGAACTAGTATTCAGCCTATGCAGTCTTACTCCAAAGCCCAAACTTCTAACCACCTTACATATTGAAATTATGAAGCATAGAAGGAAGGTTTTATGACTATTCTCCATCAAAAGAGCGTATTTTTGTTACTTTAAATGTTTTTAGGTAAAATAATTGTAAGAACAGCTAACATTGTATGTTCACTAACCACTTTACCCGGATCATTCCATTAAATGCTCACAGCAATACAGTAAGACAGTTTGTCGTATTAAACTAAATTATGCTGCCGTAATGTTGCGAAAGTCTCAGTGGTATACATGAACAAAAGTGTTATTTATCACTCACTTTACATGTCAGCCAAGGCTCTAAAGACTGCTATATCTTTATTTCAATTTGTGTATGTATGTGTGGTTTAATGTGCTTGTATGTATTGAGTTTGCCATCTTAAAAAACATTTTAATTTAAATCCTTAGATTTATAGGAACAAAACATTGGATTTATTAGAATATAATAGCTAGAGGTACACAAATGAAATTGGAAGTAAAAAGCAGGAAACAAAAGTATTAGAGTGGTAAATGTTTATATTAGGTTTAATAACAAATTTGCCAGCCTGTCAGAAGCTCTCCAAGAGACTTCTTTAATAAATTTCTGTTTTGTATACTTTGTTTTACATGGGGCAAAACTATTTCCTCTGCTAGAGAAGTAGTCATTCGTAATGAATAACATGTAAATTATTGGGACAGGATGTAAATTAGAAAAGCAAATAACTGTATATATATTTTTCTTTCTGTAGCAGCCAGAATAAAGATAAATGAAGAATTCAAAAGTAATAAAAGTGAAACTTCTCCTAAGAAAATAGAAGAGGTACAGTAATCTTTTCAATTACAATAAAACTCTTATAAATTGTATCAGCAGCTAGAGGAAATGATGAAAATAGAGAGGTTATATGAAATGAAAACCCTGATATTTAAAGCAACTGTGTGTAACCTTAACTTGTTTGGCATGGCTCACTTCCTCTGGGTCATCTGCCTACACTCATATGACAGCGAGTTGCATGGTGAAAAGAACATGAATGTTGCCGTGGTCAAAACAAGAGCAGCTGAATCAACCTAGGCACCCACAGAAATGCTATCTTCACTCAAGGCAAGTGACTGAAACTAAGGAGAAGGAGTGCTGTGGTAACTCAGAACTACAGAGGGAACATCTCATTGAACTCAACTCGACAGATTTTTTAAAAAATTCCTGTTGGCAGTAGAAGTTAACCAGCCACAGTTTATTACCTACGCTTGGTTTGCCTTCTATATTTGCATTTTAGTTGCTTGTTCTAGTTGAAGACAGTCTACTGACATTAGTCTGTGAGTTCCCTAGTACTCCCAATACATATTCATTGCAAAAAGTACACAATGATTTATTTTCTGTATAAAACCATGCTGTGTATATATACACTGTCTCAGTCTTGAGCTTTCCAAGTATCCCTGTATCTAACCTTGTATAAAATAGGGAGAAAAAACCCATAGGAAGAAAATGAAAAATGGACAATTCCAAGAACTGGTTTGATAAAAAAAATGTACAAATTAGAGAAATGTTTGCATATTTAATAAAATTTCAGCATATTAAAAATTTTTTCATAAATATGTGTTTATATTTCAAAAATGGCATTTTTTGAAGTAGTAAATATCTATAACAGTCAAGCTAATGATAAAAATGACATAGCTAAAGTATTTCCCTATAAGATAAAGAAAAAAGGGAAAGATTTCTCTTAAGCATATGACAGCACAAACAGGGACTATGTAATGACATAGACCATCCGTCCTCAAGCTTTTTGTTCTCAAGACCCCTTTATCTTCTTAAAAATTGAGGACCCTAAAAAGTGCTGTTTATATGTCATACCTATCAATATTTACCATATTAGAATTTAAAACTGAGAAATTTTAAAAATATATATTGACTATATCACTTAAAAACAAGTGTATTATATGTTAACAAATACATTGTTTATGAAAAATAACTATATCTTCAAAATACTTTAGTGAGAAGAGTGACATGCTTTACATTTTTGCAAATATCATTCACGTCTGGCTTAGAAGTCAGCTAAATTTTATCTGCTTCCTCATTCAATGCGTTTTTTAGATTGAAGTATTTGAAGAAAATTCAGCCTCACACAGATAAGTAATTGTAAAGGTGTAGGAGTACATAACAGTCTTTTCAAATAATGGTGAACATTCTTTGATAGTATATGTCAATAAGTGATCGATTTCCTTAAAGATTAGTTGCAACGTGGAACTCTGTTCCTATTAGACCAATGGATGTATATATCCATTTTGGCGGTTGGGGGTGGGGGGCTCCAGGGTTCATACACACCATGTCCTGTCCATTCCCTCTTGTCTCCCCTAATCCCTTGTTCCTCATCTGACCTTGTTCCCAGCCTTAGACCTAGGACTCCACTTGGTTTAGCACCTGCAGTGGGTGAGGAGATCCCTTTGTTCCCCCTTTCTCTCCCCTGCTGATCCCCTTCTCAGTCTGTCAGGATGGGAGGCTTTGGGCCCCTGCAGCCTTCTCCATGTCAGTTAGTGGCAGCTCCCTCCTTTTGACTCTCAGACCAAAAACCCAAGTGCTCCCTTTCTTGTCAATACTTTAAAAGGCAGAGTGAGCCTCTTTTTTAAAGACATACTCTGTCTCTCCTCCGCTCACAACCTCCATGACTCCTCATCCCATTCAAAGCAAAATCTAAAGTCCTTACCTACCATGACCTGTAAGACTATCATCTGACCCCTGTTAACTTCCCGCCTCACTTAACTCATTTTCAAGAAAAAGTCTACCAAATAGCCAAACCTGAATAATCATAGTTTGCCTGCCTGTCAGTGGTTTATTCAAATGCAAATGGTATTTCATAGAGAAAGTTCTACTTCTCACAAGTCAAACAATGCAAAAGGCTCTAGTATTATGAAAATAATTTTGATGTCATGGGTCCCCTGAAAGGGTCTCAAGGTCCTCCAAGGTGACCACACGATTGAGAATTTCTGTTCTAGTCCAGTTCTTCATTTTGTGAATGACGAGGTCTGAAACTTCAGAGTAGGTTATTAACCCCAAGCCATGAATTAATGACGGAACCAGAGTTGGAATCCAAGTATTGTGACTCCTCACCCAACACTTTCTAGTTCTCAGAACATCCAACTCTATAAAAGAAAGATTCACACCCCCCCCCCAAAAAAAAACAGAACTGTATTTTAAACACACTGTAAAATATAATTACAACAAAAAAATGCTCTAAGTCTGTTTTGGAAAAGTTAAAAGTTTACACCTATCTGAGCTTTCTGTATACTTGCAATGGTTACAAAAAGTTAAGGGCAGGATTACCTAAAAAAATTGTAGTAAACCTGTAGTTTTCAAAAATAGTACATTCATATGAACCTTGAAAAAACACTTGAAGGATTTATTTTATGTGTTTGGTTTTCTTAACAGCTAATAAAAATAGGTTCCGATGTGGAATTGTTACTCAGAACGTCTGTTATACAAGGTATTCACACAGACCATAATACACTGAGTAAGTAAAATTAAAGAAAAATATTTTCTGATTGCAGTGTGTTTTAAAATATTGAGCAATTAACGGTGCTTTTAATGCTAATCAGTAAAACAGCTTGATTTTGCCAGGCAATGCAGTATATGTTATATTGTATCTACTATTGTAAGGCTATCATTTAAAAATGCTGAATTATGAAACTTTGTTTTACCAGATTTTATTCTTTCTCTTTTTTAATTTATTTTTTCTCTTTAACCTTCACTACTGGTTGTATTACAAAACTGCAGTTACAAAGACAGTATGACTATTTTTATTATATTTATTTGGGGTTATTAATATTTCTAGTATCATTTATCACTGACCTAGATTAAATCATTCCTTAGATTTAAAGAAAAGATTACTTTTTCTTTACTTTTTATTCTATGATTAGAGTTATTTTAATTCAGAAAAACTGGGATTATAGAAAATAAAAATAGAATAGAGGATCCTTCATCATAGCTCAAGACTCCTGGTGGGGCTTTGGCAGAATCTCATTTCACATTATATTTTATTTTTATTCCCTAAAGTTTCTTTGGGGACAACAATAACAATGAAAAAGATGGCATTAGCATTTTTGAAAGGCTTTTTTTCACATTTAAAGTAAGTGATTGAAGTATAACATGCAAATAGGAAAGTGTCCAGTTTGTAGCTGTATAATCCAGAGAATTTTCACTAAGTGAAATATGCATGCAACCAACATCCACATCAAGGTATATAACACACTACCAGTATCCCAGAAGCCCCCTCATGACCTTATGTCCCTCCTATATACTCCCTCCCCACAAGCATAACCACTGTCCTGACTTTTAGCACTGTCAATTTTTAACTTAATAAAGTGTTTTGACTTTATATAAATGGCATGATACATGATTACTGTTTTTGTCTGACTTCTTTCTCTCAACATTACATTTGTGAAAATCATCTATATTGTTTTGCATAGCAACGTTTCTTTGAATATTGTTTGACTATACCAAATTTATTCATTCTACTATTGTTCATTTGGGTTGTTCCTAATTTTGGATTATAATAAGTAATGATTCTGTGAGCATTCTTCTATGTGCCTTTTGGTTTAAAAAACATATGTACATGTGCATATATACTGCAGATATATAATGCATTTTCTTGTGTATATATACATTTAGCAGTGAATTTTCCAGGTCAAAGGGACTGTGTGTTTATTTAGCTTTAAGTAGATACTGCTAACTAGCTTTCCAAAATGCTTAGACTGATTTACACTTCCAGCAGCGGTGTCTCAGAGCTCCAGTTGCTTTATATCCTCACCAGCACTTGGTATTGTGTGTCTCTTTTTTATTTTATTTATTTTTTTATTGTTCCGTGTGTCTCTTTAATTTTAGTCTTTCTGGGGGTTGTATAATGGTATCACATTGTGATTTTAATTTGCATTTCTCTGGTAAGTAATGAAGTATTAGTACCTTTTCAGTTGTTTAATGGCCAGCTGTTTAATGAAGTGGCTGTTCAAGTCTTTTGCCCATTTTTCTTAGCAATTATCTACATTTTTACTATTGATTTGAAAGAATTCTTTATATGTTCTGAGTACACATTCATTGTTGGATTAATTCCAACAATGTTCATTGTTGGATATATGAATGACAGGAATCTTCTACTTTGTGGCTTGCTTTTTCATTTTTATCTTTGATGAGTTCTTAATTTTAATATAGTCCAGTTTACGCATATTTTTCCTTTAGTTTAGTAAGTCCTCAATGGCACCAATAGGTTCTGCAGCTTTTAGTGAAGTGACATATAATGAAACCAGTTTTTCTGTAGGCTAATTGATATAAATAAGAGTTAAATTCCTAAGGCATCTTACCATCATTGCATTGATACAAGGTTGAACACAGTGGCATTACTGCAGGACCTGTTGTACTTTTGAGTCCTGTTTAAAAAGTATTAGAGCAAGGTCATGAAGAGATTTTCCTGTTTTCTTCCAAAAGCTTTATTGTTTGATCTTTCCATTTGGTTGTTTATATCAACTAGAGTTGATTTTTGTATGTGGTGTGAGGTGGGGTCAGGATTTACTTTTTACATGTGAATGGTCAGTTGATCCAGCATTTATTGAAAACAGCACTCTCTCTCCACTGCATTGCCGGGTCACCTTTGTCATAAAGTCTAATAACTATGTATGTGTGTACATCTGTTTCTGGACTTCATAATATCATCAATTAGTTTGTTTTTCTGTTCTTGCATCATATACCATAATGTCTTGATTTACTGTAGCCTTATAATAAATCATGATATCTAGTGAACTAAGTCCTATATGGCTTTTAAGGTTATTTTTAGTTCATGAGGACTTATCAGAAATTATTAGGTCTGAGTTATAAGGGCAGTAAACATAAGTAATCCTAAATTGAAAATGTGGTCATTAGCTTTAATTGCCTTCCTTAGAGCTCTGTGTAGTATAGCCAACATTTTATACAGGTGATCACAAGTAAATATTATTTTTGTTATATGAATAAAAATGTAAGTTATTTTAAATAATTAAATTTGATATCCATGTTTCAAATACCTGGTTTTAAATAGGACAGTGTTGGTTTAAATTTCTTTTTATCTCTTGATTTTCTGTATAACTTAATTTTCCCCCAGGATTGAAAATTTTGACTCTGATGTATTAGTTTATAATACTTTATTGCTTTAATAATGACCTTATTCTTTCTATTAAGATATAAATGGGTCTCTTTTTCCTATAACAAATTTAATTCTTTAATCTCTGTTTTTAGAAGTTACTTTAAGCATAATTCCTACACATACTTTAGCAGTGTTCATACTGGCATACATAACTGAGAGGAATTAAAATGCTCCTTCTTAGCTATAAAATAGAGCATTGTGATTGTGTGCTTCTAGAAAATACCACATCATATCCCAATGTGAAAAAAATAATTGAAAATGAAATTCCATCTGCAAGAGCAATCACCTTGTACGCAAAAACCCTGAATCCATCTTTCTTTTCCTTCTCTTCCAAATAATATTCACCATGGAAATTAAGTATTGACTCCCAGAGAGAACTCTTTATCCTAAATAATTTCTTGGTGTTTTTTCCTTAAAAAATCACTTTCCTTATTCTTGTAGATAATTTCAACATTCTTTATTAAAGACATAAGAATTTTACCACTTGGGAAAACTTATTTTTAAAATCATTTCATAATTGGGGAACATATTTTTCTTTCCAAATACTCCCTACTTTTCTGTATTTTGGGGGTTATGATATAAGGTGCCTGAATAATAATTTTTGATTCATACCATTCTCATCATTGGTGCAGCCTAACCTTTTTAGGTATTCTATAGAAAAATAACAACTATGACTTAGAAAAATACCAAAATTAACTCATTGTTCTATACTTGCTTTCTCATTGATTTTTGACAGTTGTCAAAGACGTTTTTATTTTTTATTGAATTTACTGGGCTGACATTGGTTAATAAAATTATATAGGATTCAGGGGTACAATTCTGTACAATATATCATCTGTATATTGTATTGTGTGTTCCCCATTCCAAGTCAAGTTTCCTTCCATCACCATTTATCCTCCCCTTACCTTCTCCTTCCTCTCCCCACCCCCATTCCCCTCTGGTAATCACCATACTATTGTCTGTCTGTGAGGTTTTGTTGTGGTTTTTGCTTAATCCCTTCATCTTTTTCACCCAGCTCCCTACCTCCTCCCTTCTGACAGCTGCCAGTCAGTTCTCTGTACCTACGAGCTTGTTTCTATTTTGTTAAGTTTGTTTTGTTAATTAGATGCCACATAGAAGTGAAATCATATGGTGTTCAAAGCCTTTTTTCTTAATACGGACGTTGATCAGCTGGTTTCATTGTTGGCCTTTATCAAACATACATTCTATAGACAGTAACCAAGTTTATGAATAAAGATGGTACCAGGAAAACCTGGGACTTCTGGTGGCTATATATTAATAGTACTTTAGTACTTAACTTTTGAATAGCGTTATCCACATTTTTTAACTTTCTCTGTGGCATATATGTAAGACAAACAAAATAGGGATGTGCTTCTGAACATGTGTGATACATTAAAAAAATTGAAGCTCTTAGGAGCTATTCTTTATTTCAGATACGGTTTTAAACTTACATCCTTTGGTTTTTATAGTCTTTGCCTAAAACTCTCTTAAGGTTTGTATTCTACAGCATTAATGTGAGTCAACATTTATTGAATATCTGTTGCGCTAAGCAGTGAGAATAGAACAATGGACTAGACTGATTTGGTTCCTGTCCTTGTGGAAGTTAGAGTACTATGTAGAAGACAGACAACTAAGTGTTCAGACACAGTCTTTTGGGTGCCATGATAAGGTAGGCAGTGTTGTGGAGGGATAGAATAGAACTCCAAATCCAAAACTTGGTGGGTCAAGAACAGGCTTTTCAAAGAAAACAATTTTGTGTTCAAGTTTTCTAATTTGAACTTATATATATTTGTGTGCTCGATATATTTAGAGATGTCTTCTGTAACTGCAGAGTTAAGTATTTTAATGTCTTATAAATTATATCCTAGATGCCTCTTTGATTGCTATGCTGTTATAAACCATGCCATCAATAAATTCTGAAAAATTGAGATAAAATCGACATTTAATATTGTATTAATTTTAGGTGTACATAATGATTTTATATATGTGTATATGGCAAAACGATTACCACAATAAGTGTTTAGTTACTATCCATGATCATACTGTTACTTTTATTATGTGTGATGAGAACTTATAAGAGTTACTCTCTAAGAATCTTTCAAATATGCAATACAGTATTGTTAACTATAGTCACCAGTGCTGTATGTTACATTCCCAGGGCTTATTTATCTTATAACTAGAAGTTTGCATCTTTTGACGACCCTCACCCATTTTATCCATCCACATATATCCTCTGCCTTGGCAGCCACCAATCTCTTCTTTATATTTATGTGCTCAGTTATTGTTTTGTTTTGTTTTTAGATTCCACATATAAGTGAGATTATATAATATTTGTCTTTCTC